TTCGGCCATCTTTCAAAGTAAATAAAAGGTTCAGTTTTCTTCTTGCGTTTTGATTTGGGTTATTCCATTATAATTTATAGGTAACGGCTGGTAGCTAATCTGTTCATTGAACCGTAAATGTTGTTGTTTTAAGGCGTTTGGGAACTGCCTGTCTGCGTAATGGGAGGACATCCTCCCACTCACGTATCCCCAGTGCTGTCACTGGTTGTTTGCAAAGCGAGTGAAGGCGATTGTCGCGATAGATGTTCGAGATCAAAAGTAGGCGCTTGGAAATACCTTGCGATGATCCAGATACAATGTATGGCCGTGAAGCAATAATAAATTGTTCCACTTTGAAAGTCGATTGAAACGTGATTTTGACTCTGAACTAACAATCTTGACACAAATGGATGACGATAACCGCACACAAATGCAGTTAGGGTCGAAGCAAGCCCCCTGGCTGGTTGATGTTTGTTAAGGAGACATTTACAAATGCATGCTTTCTTTGATAAAGCCGTCGTAAGACGATGAAAGTAAAATTCCTGGTAGGCGGCGCACCACCAGTGCCTGCCCGCAACTATGCCGCCCCATCCGACGTCGTCGTCCCACCGACTTGCAAAAATAACGATACAAAGAATTGCAGGTGTCATGTGTTGTGCTCGATAGGCCAGTCATCCAGATTAGTGTCGGCATAACCGATTGGCAGTGCGCATAGCGATCGGCAAAGCAGTCAGTGGGGTGCATCGAAGCGTCCGTCTTTGTCATAATGTATGGTACCGGGAAGCATTTCGAATCGTAGGTCATCTAAAAATTCCTATATATTTAAAAATTTAATCCGCGCAGTTATCATCGTGGGTTTGTGGGAAAGAATTCCGCAAAAGCGACTTCGTCAACTTATCCAGTCTCCGCCGAGACGGTGCCGAGCAGTAATTGCTGCAAATGTTGGCCATACAAAGAACTGACTTTGACGCCATCTTGTGGTCCTTCAAGTAAACGGAAACACAAGCAATGCTTCCGCTGTTGTGGCTATGAACTTTATCTATATGTGAATTACATTTTACTCATTGAAATTACAATAACTAACAGAATAAACCTTCCAAAACAATATGCGTTTCTTTTTTTGTTGTTGAATAATATATATGTGATAATTATTCAGTTCAAACACCAGGTAGCAGTTAATAGTTTGTTTACATATGTGTTTGGCATCTGAACCAATGACTACAGAAATACATATGTACCTGACTCTTGAGCTCAGGCGCGCCTTCTCCCGGTTCAAGATGTCTTTCCGTTTCGACCCAAGGTGCCAAACACGATTGTAGGCTGGAAGAGGATGTACCGTAAATGTACCCCGGATTTATTTCCGGCAAAACGTTTACTTTCTCTGGGAAGACTTTTTAGCGCAAAGTTATTGTAAGTCGAGTGTGACTTGTTACCAAGTCAACAAATATGATGAATAAGTAAAACAATTATCATTCAGTATGCGTGTTTTAGGTGTTCTTTGAAACTGAAACATATGATAACATATGCAATAATATCCTATTCCCCGTAGTTATTGTTAAATCTCATTTCTGGTGTCCCCCGTCGTGATATTCCTCGAATATTGCTAAAAGCGGCGTAAAATCCAACTAACTCACTCACAATTGTTAGATCTTTGACCTGAAACTATTTTTCCTGCGTGAGTGATTATCGAAAACCCCATAGCTGAATATTGCTGGGTGCGACGTTAAACGACAAACCAACGAAGGTAATAATATGACATCCTAATGGAAGGTTTGCAAGTGACATTATGGTGTGCCATTTTTTCTGTTTACAATGAGAGATATTACGACTTTGGTTTTATTTATTTATTTTACACCGACAATCATTGCTACATTGTAAAAGATATGACACACTGATCAGAAAGGCGTTATGGTATCTTACCACCAAATATACACACAGTCATGTCATCATAACACAAGCAACATTACCATCATATCAATTCGCATTTATTGTTCTTAATAGTCATAGTGTATTCGTAGTTGACATGTTAGTCAATGTCAACATTGTCAAGATCACGGGAACATATTTCATGTCCACATCCACATGCCGAAGTACACAACAGGTTCAACCTCTTGCAGCTACACCTTCCTGTATATTGGCGTTTACATGCACAGATATGTTGAAGAAGGTCCCCGGAAACGATTTAGTCTTAACTTCTTTGCAACCTTATCACAGAGGAACAGAGGAATATTTGATGAAGATCTGTACTGAACAGCAAAAGTAACGCAAGTCTGGCTTTTTGTCAATTTGTTTAATAGAAGACAATCAAAATCATGTCTAATCATTTATTCTATAGAAAACACTGTCAACTTAACAGTTGAAAGTTGCTGTTGACATTGCAATAAGTTCAAATTGATCACAGTCCGTCAAATGGAGATGCCCCTGAACGCGAAAAGTGACAGTCTCTTTAGTAGCGCGTATAGCCACCTTGAGCTTGCACACAGGCCGTGCAACGTTACCTCATTCAGTTCACGAGTGTCTGAAAGACTGCCTGAGGCAACTGCTTCCGCTCAAACACCAACCTGTATTCCAATTGTGCAAGTGTGAGTGGCTGTCTACCTTCCCCAATCCTCCGTCAAATTTCGTCCCAGGATGTTCAAAGGGAGCCATATCCGGGAAAGAGACGGCCAGGGAAAAATGTTAACGTTGTTATGAGCCAGATGATCAATCAACACCCTTGCTGTGTGAGGGCTGCTGGCGTTGTTGACGTGTCAAAACTGGCCCCACATGTGGCCGTCGGCAGTGGATTCCAGCAGCCCGAAGACGACGCCTAATCGTATCGCTGGACACTGCTCCACTTGACCCAAGAACTAAGGCTGCTGTTACTGTTTCTGCTTGAGTTCGGTTCTTTAGATGAGTGACCCGGATGAACCGATCTTGCGTATGAGTTGTCACTCGTTGCCGTCCGGTACGGGGACGATCAGCAGCAACCCCGGTTTGCTGATGACGTTGAGCAAGTCGTGTAATGTGGTAAGATGACAGCCCAATTGCCTAGCTACAGCGGTTGCAGAGCTACCTCCGTGCAACTTTCCAATGGCCACTCTCCTCTGCTCAGTCGTTAGTCTAGGCATCGTTTGTGTGGCGTGTACACCTCCTAGCGTCAATACTGAACTGTTTTTGACACAAACCTTTATAGAGAATATCTTAGAGTGAAATGCATGCTTTCCATCCAGAACCGTCGACGCACGTGCTAAAGTTATGGTTTTGCTGCACTGTTGGTGTGTTTGCACATTGCATGACATCATCTCATCTGGGATCATTACGTCACTTTACCATGAACGTTCCATAAACATGAACGCTTACCTTCATGAAATTTCATTTTTTCGAAACTTGCGTTTCTTTTGCTGTTCAGTATATTACGTAAGAAAAGTACTGCTTTAGATACAAAATATTAAGTGTCTAGTTTTGTGGACAACTCAAAGAAATTCCTAGACAATATTCATATAAACATCTTGCTTCTACTGTAACGTTCATAAAAATATGCATACCTCGGTTTTAGTAATATGTAATGATATACACAAAAGAGTTACACATAGCATGGTCATGACACTATGACCATCGATCTTCACAAGTGGGATACGATGGCATGCATCAAGTAAGTGAGAACGATCACCCGATCACATTAGTTCGCTCTTACAACATGGGTAGCTGAAGATCAATTTTGACCCAGCATATTTGTGAACCTGCCAGACTGTTAATGAATAAATGCAAAGTCAGTCTCATGATGTCTGTTGTAGATCATTCCAAATGCTATTATTGACAACAGAATGTATGTCGCCAATATCTTTTCTGGTCTCTGCATAAGTCGTACTTCAGACAGCCAATTGTCAAGTTGCATTTAATTACTATCAGCTATTCCGTACACGCACAGAAGTTGGTATATACGTTGACAGACGCTTTAGAATTATATTTTGCGTGGAAAACCTTGAATCGTCTATACATATTGACAGTAGTGAGTGACCTCGTCCAGATGAATACTAACAGACCAACTGTCGTTCCTTTCCCGATTTCCATATGTCGCATGACTACACTGTCCTTCAAGCAGAAAGTGATTGAACTGACAATAGTTACCGCATCATGGAATTGGCTCAGGTGAATCACTATCTTCATCAGCTGATGCACGTCGACAATACAACGTCAGCTCTAACATATTGACAGATCACACCTAGATTAACATTACCAAGTCGGCTGTAGTCAACTGCATTGTTCCAACAACAGATATTATGAAGCCACCAGCTGTGTTCAGCAGAGTGTGTTTCAAACGAAGGACATCTTCTGCTTGCCCAGATCTATATATCTAGTTTCCGAAATACGAATGCTAGTAATACTAGGAGAATAGGTTTTTTAAATGCGTTTCCCTCCGTGTAAGAACCACAGTCGCTCTGTATCGCTGGGACATTACACATGCCAGTAGTCTGTCTCATACTCTAAACCTTCGGCCCAACCCCTTCTGTAATGCAATAGTCCAAAATGAAGCCAGTCTAGTTCTGAATCTCCGAACTCACTGGGGCTAATTCAGTATATACGGAGTTATATATTGCTATCAAAATTCCTATTTTCAGAGGCTTCCGCTTGGTATAACGTGCCAGGATCCTGTAATTATGGACCCAAACATGCTCCGGATATGCTTATTGGTTTTTCAAGACCATATCTATGTTTCTGAATTTCTCCCACTTTTCTCTCCTGTTCAAGATGAAATCCACCTAAGAGCAGGATTAATTGATTACCTTCTCACTAACACAGTGAGTAGCGACTTAAGAGACCTACTTTTAGTTTGTACCACAACCTCCCGGTTTTTCCTGGTTACGTCAGTGTGCGCGCGCGTGCGCGCGTGCGTGCGTGCGTGCGTGTGTGTGTGTGTGTGTCCTTATTGGTGAAATGACACACAACTACATCCTAATCACTAAATTTATTCATGGGTAATTTTTTTATAATGTTTGCACTGTTAACTGATCAACATGAAGAAACTTGATTGGCATTTAGAAGTTGGAAGGTAACACAACAACTTATGGTATGGATGTACAACTTCTTTATTATTTACAGCACGACGTTTCTGGGATGCTTCTTAGTAGCCCAGAAACGTCGTGTATTTATGATAATGAATATTTGCTTGATATTTTATGGAATATGGAAAGGTTAATCCAAGTACATTGTATGTACGATTGCTTGTGCGATCTCTTAATCAGGATGATTATATTCTTCAATTATCCATGGGGTAGTGCCAAGGCAGCACTCAACAAATCTGTCACACCACTTCTGATCCCATCCTCTGATTACAAAGCTGCTATTAGATCTTATATCCGTGATCTGATGCAAAAGAAGTGGGACACCCAAGCAGGTATCATTAAATTACATGCAATAAAACCAACTATCGGTTACACCTACTTGGGTTGTCAGTCCAGATTTGAAGAGGTCATCATACGACGATGACGTATTGGCCACACAAGATATACTCATGAGTACCTATTAAAAGGTGAGGATCCGCCGTTTTGTATCCCTTGTGATGAAAGAATGTCTTGCTTGACTGTGTTGAATATTCAATCACAAGGGATAACTATTTCAAAGCACGAACCATGAAGGATCTTTTTACTAATATAAGTTCTCATTTAATTATTGCATTTTTAAAAGAATTAGACGTGTTAACTGATATGTACATAGATACATATTTTATTATTGGTAGTTAGATTAGTAACTGATACTGTTAGTGGCTATACCCTCAAAGGGGGTTGAAGTAGCGTAAAATTATTGTCCTCCTGAGAGGGTACGTAAGTCCCGAAATATTCAAAGGAAATTCAAAGGCTGTTTTAAATGTAGTATTCTTGTAATTTTAATTTGGCTAAATTTGACTTCAATCGCCAGCGGCTGAAGGGATGATATAAATCCAGCTAGGGTCGATGCAGGTAGCAAAAGTAATGTAAGTCCCCATGGTCCCTCATTTGGTGATCTACCTTCAGTTGTTGGCGATTTATAGCCAGTTTTTATATTGTATTGTCCAAATATGGCTATTAGTTTTAACTTTCCACACTAGTTTTAGTTGTAATTGTGATATTCTAGTTGTTTTACTATCCTTCGTAGACAGGTTTCTATCATATACATATAAAAAGTGTTCAAACACATACCCTTGATATCCGGAATGATGCACAAGGCTTTAAGCCATGAAAACATTTGAAAACTTGCAAATTTACAAATGTTTTCCCACCTAAGGAACTATTCATATTTCGAACCCAACTAAACTTAGAAAAGAGTCGGAAATTACATCACCTATTACAATCAAAAGGAATGCATTGGGAATACTGTGTATTTCAGAGTTATATGACGGGGTTGTATATTTGGTGGTAAGATACCATAACGCCTTTCTGATCAGTGTGTCATATCTTTTGCCGGTGTAAAATAAAGAAAGAAAACCAAGTCGTAATATTTCACATTGTAAACAGAAAAAATGGAACACCATAATGTCACTTGTGAACCTTTCATTAGGATGTCATATTATTATCCATCAACTTTAAGGGTTTCACAACATGTCAGTGCAGCTGGAGCGTGAAGTGACACAATATTGATACTTATTAAAACATATCTCCTTCTGACATCAGTTGAATTGTTGTGTTTCATGCATGCAGTGCCAAGCAAAGATATGTATGATCTTCAAATGATATAGCTGAATTATAAAAACATAATTTTGGTAAAATTACCTTAACTTTGTAAAATTGATAAAGTTGCAAATAAGTTAAGACTAAATGGTTTCCGTGGACCTTCTTCAACTTCATAACTGTGCATGTGAAAGTATATGTACAGAAAGGTGTCAAAGAGGTTGAAACTGTTGTGTACTTCGGCATGTGGATGTGGACTTGAAACATGTTCCCGTGATCTTGACATTGTTGACATTGGCTAACATGTCAACTACGAATACACTATGACTATTAGGAACAATAGACACGAATTGATATGAAGGAAATGTTGCTTGAGTTATGATGACATGACTGACTCATAATTCTTTGATGAGCAAAGAAAGACATCTGGAATAATAGAATTTTACATTTAAGAGCTTTCAGTTATGTTGTGTGATTTTAATAATAGTCCAACAGCATCATCGACATATTTGGTATCGTTGACTATGTAAAGCATGGAGCTGTTACTGTTGAACAGACAGTATATAATATTTTGCTCATCTCAATACAAAGTACCAACTTTTGTTTCCTTGTAATGGTTTTTTCATGCATACAGTGCAAACCAACGGTATATATGATCTTCAAATGATATAGCTGAATCAGAAAAACATAAGTTTGGAAACAATTACCTTTAATTTGTAAAGTTCAACTCATATTTTCTCATCAAATGCCCTTTCTATTAAATTGACCTTTGACCTTACCCAAATATTTTTGCGATGAGCATATGTAGTATTATTGTCCACAATTTTCAATCATGATCTGAGCATTCCAACACTACTATTTTGATGAAAATCGGTCAATCCAACCCAAAGTTCTTAAATTAAACCATCCAGTTCTCGGTTAAAATATTGCCATAACTGACATGACATATTGCACCTTAAAAGGGCCCCTGGACGCCAGAACTGCACCACATTTTCACCATTTGGGGGGTCTGGCTTCTAGACCAAACCAGTCCAAGTAATATTTAATCGATTTCTTGTCTGTATTAAGAGGTCTTTATTAGTTCTTTCTGTGCATAGCATGTTTTAACATCTTGACTTGAACAAACATTAAAGAACGTCAAGATTCCATTGGGCATTAGAAGCAAAATAACGGTGAATGGATCACTGAAAATCACAGATCAGACGTTCGCAAAAAGCGTACGTATATCCTGCATGCTCTGGGGTGACACCTCAAGAAACAATTTCATTTCATTTGGGTTGAGTGTGGTGGTGGTGGCGCAGTTTTAATGTCTCGGCCAGAACATGTGTGACGTAGTTGAAACACTATTATTGTTTTTCATCAAATGGTTACTATGGAATCGGGGTGGTGGGGGTAGCCTAGTGGTTAAGGCGTTCGCTCGTCGAAGACCCGGGTTCGATTCCCCACGTGGGCACAATGTGTGATGCCCATTTCTGGTGCCCCCGCCGTGATATTGCTAAAAGCGGCGTAAAACTTAACTCACTCACTCACTGACTAATGTGGAATCAGTTCGTTGTTTTGCTGTTGCGATCAGTGTTCATATATGCTTACATTTGTTGTTAACAATAACGAAGAAAGATATAGCTTGCCTCGCGGCATGAAGCCCTAGTTACCTAAATGATAGCAATATGTTGTCACATTCCTCAAACGTAAATGCATCATTTTATTGAAAAAGAGCTAGCATCTCTAATCAAGGTAAATTGTGAATTGTGTTGTCTCTTGACAACCGGCAAACACAGCCTGAAAATGTTTGAAGACATCCAACACTTCTCCTTGCATTTGGCAACAAGACACACGCCACCTTGAGTGTGGCCCCACCCACAACCTAGCATTTTGCAAGAACCGAAACGTCCAATCGCTTGAGGCAAGAACCGACACTTCACCTGGCGTGAGGCATGAACCGTCTCACACATCGTCTTGCGACACCGTCCCTTGCTTGTGGCTTGACAAATTTCATTTAGTTCCTTAAAATACCTATTTTCGATTTTGTAATATTAATAATATAGAAAAGTACTTACTTGTTGCAGCGGAAGCAGATACTAGGCACAGACAAATGAATGCTGTTGGTACCATGTTGAAAGACCTGTCAGCAACTGAATCGAGCACCTGAGCATTTGTATTTATAGGTATTACCGTCATGATACAATGCTTCATATTCTGTCATAAAATTTTATCAATATGACTTTAGTCTATATTTTTAAGGTTTCATATTTGTTGTTGAAAATAGATACTTTTGATTGAATATAGAAAACGTGTTTTTATCATTTTTCGATCACTGCGGTTATATTGGACAGGAGTGGAAAACGATATCGAAAAACCATGAAAAGAAAACCAATAAAAAAAACCAATAATGATATATGTTTTCCATTTGAAAGGATTAACGTTTGATAAACGAAGAATGAAAAGGTTACTGGTGAAGCAGTAGGACACTTCCACGGGACAAGGAGATGTAGAACAGCGGTAACAGTTCACCCAGACCTGCCACGATATATACAGATATGTTACTATCACCATGCTAAGTGTCATTGTTGTATCAACTACATCAAATTGAGTGGGTGAGTTTAGTTTTACGCCGCACTCAGCAATATTCCAGCTATATGGCGGCGGTCTGTAAATAATCGAGTCTGGACCAGACAATCCATTGATCAACAACATGAGCATCGATCTGCACAATTGGGAACCGATGACAAGTGTCAACCAAGTCAGCGAGCCTGACCACCCGATCCCGTTAGTCGCCTCTTACGACAAGCATAGTCGTCTTTTCTTGTTAGCATGGGTTGCTGAAGACCTATTCTACCCCGGATCTTCACGGGTCAACTACATCAAAGAAAAATGTTTCTTTCGAAGAGTGAATATTTACATTCAACGGTCTACACGTAACGAACATATGCAGTTATTCGAAACAATACGACGATGGAACACGAACACGAACACACACACGAACACACACACACACACACACAAACTCACTTAGTTAAGTGTGCGTATGATTGGCCGTACGATCGGAAGTTCTATGTGTGACGTCATTGCTTAGTAACGTACGTCACATGACTTTCCAATTTTGTCACATTCCGTCCCATCTTATGTTTTAACAGTATTTATCAAAATGTGATTTCAATAGAGATTGATGATGAGTTACTGAGCCTCTTTGAATTATATTCCAGTTATACCACGGCGTGTCAGCAAGATTTGGGAGGAACGTCGAAAACGTTGTCAGATCTAAAAACGTTTATCTTTCTTATCAACCCCATGAATGAATGCGTGAGTATGGTTTTACGAAGCTTTTAGCAATATTCCAGCTATATTCCAGCAATACCACAGCTGGGACACCATAAATTGGCTTCCTACATTGTACCCATGTGGGGAATTGAACCCGGGTCTTTAGTGTGACGAGCAAACGCTTTAACCACTAGGCTACCATACCGCCCCGTCAACCCACGAGCACATGCACGGTTGACAAACCAAGAGACATAACCAAGCGAACTATATACTAGATAGTGGTTTTGTATAGATATTGGACGGTAGCATGAAAAAGGACAACAAACGTTTCGGTTAAATGAAATAAGTTAGTTTTTCAATGTTTTGGCATCATATTATTTATGTTTTATTTTGTGTTATTTATCCAACGGTCCAAATCAGACCAAAACAAAACGTCCAAAAACAATGATAACTTTTCACACCTGCTGTCGTCACGTTAGTCTATGCGATCAATGAGTGCAGCCTTTTCATTCATCTCTTTCATGTCTGTCCATGGCACAAAGATACCACATTAAACGTGGAAGGTTATTATTGCGTAGTAGAAAAAAACATCGCTTATCGGTGTTAGTTTCATAACCTATAAGTTCCGACAGGTGAATAAAACACTGAAGTACATTAAAAAACTGTTATGCATTCAAAACATAATGCTTGCTCCGATTGTTTTTTGACACACCTGCCTCTTATTTTAATATATTTTGTAATATAAAATATCTAACTACTTAAATGTCACAAGCTCAGCACGACATCATTTCAGCAAATGCCACTTTTGATTTTAATTAGATGAATCATAAAGCTAACACACGTTGTATATCGTGATTTATAGCTAAAATGGATAGAATTATCATGAAAACGCCCGCACGTTATCAGAAATGAGCGGGCCACTGTAACTTGATAATGCCCGCAAAATGCTTGACGACTGGCCATTATCAAGCCCGTTGTTAGGTGACGTCATAAACAGCTCAGCTCTTGTTGTTCAGTCACCTACGGCTCGTTTGAACTTGTGTTCATTACTGACGATATTTCTGACTCACCTTCGTCACATGTACCTGTGCCATTTTGCACTTTCTTGCAGGTGCCAACCTTAACAATTGTACCATAAATTACAACACACAGCAATGGAAACATCGACTGGAATTCAAACGTTGTTGAGCACTGAACAAAATGGCGGCTGGTGGTATGGGCAAAGGTCAAGGTCGAATGTCGTCATTCTCAATAGTGACGTCACCTGTTTTTTTTCTATGTCGTGTCCATATTTGTAAAAACTGTCAGTGACCTCCGTCGTTTGTTGTTAGCAGTAAATGCTTCAAAACCGATGCCGTTGTTTTTATTCTTATCTCATTAGAAATTCTATCCATTTTAGCTATAATAACGGTAACGCTATTTTTCAGGGCATTATTATTTGCAGAAGCCCTCGGTGTTTTCAACTTCCCTCCTTCGTCGGGCAGTTAATGAAAGACCTCGGGCTTCTGCAAATGATAATGCCCTGAAAAATAGCGTTACCCTTATATTATAGCTAAAATACATGAAATTATCATGAAACGGCCCTCCCATTATCAGAAATTTGCGGGCCGCTGCAAATGATATTGGACCGCTGAACCTTAACGACGGGGCACTATCAGTTCTGTTGTCAAGTGACGTCATAGTGTGTGCGTGGGCTTACGGTTCTTTCGACATTGGCTTTGGACTGGCAGATATTATGGGTACAAAAAAGTCCAAGCAACCCGAATTCCCGCTTAAAATAGCGGTAATATTGGCTTTCCTGCTGGTGCTAACCTTAATAATTGCACTATTAACGTTGTTGTTTGATAAAAAACCGGACACTGACATAGTTTGACATGTTGCAGGCTATGGTCTTGTCAAAGTCCAAGGTTGAATACCGTCACTTTCTGTTGTGACGTCACTTGAATTGTTCGATGACGTAATTGCATTCGGGCAGTCAACCCCGTCAGAAGTTGGTTTTGAGTAAACTTACAGTCAAATTCCTTCATTGTTTCCTTTTTCTTTTCAACACAAAATCCACGTATTTTAGCAATAATAACGGTAATGCTATTTTTGAGGGCATTATCATTTGCAGAAGCCCTCGGTCTTTTTCAACTGCCCTCCTTCGTGGGGCAGTTAATGGAAGACCTCGGGCTTCTGCAAATGACAATGCCCTCAAAAATAGCATTACCTTTATAATGAAGACAAATGAATGTGTCATTGTAATAAGTGGAATGTGTTGTTCAGGATTTTGTACGAATTCCTGTTTATTGGCGCTGAGGTTGACATGAACATGTTATCTCCACCTGAATCATCAGAGCACCACCACAAGCATCCTCGATAATCTCCGATAGATCTCCACAAAAGTCTGTATGGGTCAAAATGATACGGATGAATCTCAATCTATCTCCAAATGGGTTCTCGGTCAAACATTCATTTAAAAGCAGAATGTAATACAAACATCAGACCAATTCTGGAAAAAAGGATTCATAACCTTTGCCCCCCAAATAAAAAAGTTACTTCACAAACTATCACCATTTTGTTTTGATTTTCCGGGTGAGGTTTACCAGGGTAAATTACAGTTGCAGGAACAGCCTCAAGGGCGGAAAGCACGTGCAATTGTGACGTCACATAAAGCATCGCCAATCGATTTATTGGCACAGCAGACGAGACAATGAAATTCAACTCTGACATCAAGTCCATTATTTTCACAGTTTATGATTTTTTAAAGGCGAAAGTGAAAGGGGTAACCTTAAATATGCCCTGGGTAAATTTGTTAAACGCACTGCATGTGCAGTTCGGTTGTCTGTAAGACAATTGAAACATTTATTTTGAGGCAATGTGCAACAGAGTCAGGCACAGCTGAGCGGGTCGTATCATAATCTCCACTTTTGAAAGTTGACAAACTTGACTGTTTTCAGAAAGAGTTGGTAAGAAATGCTGTTAGAAGACTCTATAGCAAAACTATATTCTTTTCCTTACGCATTTTGCAAAAACACATGGAGACAGAACATTCGTTGACTATATCCAAATATCAGTTATGGAAATACATTTGTGTTTCGTTACGAAAAGGTAAGTGGGGAAAACAGGCGGGTGCTATGTGAAAGAGCTGACATTGTGCGATTACGGAACACATACGTACGCACTATCTGTGAAAGAGCTGACATTGTGCGATTACGGGACACATACTTACGCACTATCAGACAAAAAGGTCAAGAAAGATTCGAACCAGTGTTTTTGGATGAAACATGGGCGAACGCCAGCCACACTGCAAGCACACAATGGGTGGATATCTCCTCTACAGAACCATGTAACAGGAAACTGCCACTGGGCAAGGGTGAGCGACTGATTGTGTTACACGCAGGCTGTAAAAGTATGGGGTTTCTGCCTGATTGTTCACTCCTGTTCAAGGCCAAATCCAAAGACAACAGAGATTACCAAACTGAAATGAAGTTTTCATAAACTGGGTAAAAATAAACTAGCTGGTACTAGCACTTCCTCAGAAATGTTTAATTGTTATGGACAATGCACCATATCATAGCATGAAGGATCCCAATGCAATAGCTCCAACATCCAACAGCAGGAAAAGTGATATGGTAGCATGGCTAGAAAAACAAGATATTCCGTTTCCATCTAAACCTGTTTTGTATGACATAATAAAGCGCAACAAAACAACACCTATCTATAACGCAGATCAACATCTCAAAGCTCATGGCCATGAAGCTTTACGTTTACCACCTTACCATTGTGATCTCAATCCAGTAGAACTTATCTGGGGTATCATAAAATCTGATGTGGGTCGCCACAATACCACGTTCAAACTTTCGGATGCTCAAAACGAAGTACACAAAGCCAAGGATAAAATAACCCCAGCAAGCTTGTAAAACTGTGAACAGTGTACAATCTGAGACTAGTGAAAGTGAATCAGGAATTTCCTCCGATTCCAGTCCAGAAGAGTTTTGATACACCCCTTAAATGTTGACATTCTAAGTTGCACGTGCTTTCTGCCCTTATAGTATAGTCTAGTAAAATTAGTGAAAAAAAAATCACTGAACCTAAACAAAAAATTGGTACAGAAATGTTGTTGTGTTTATATCATTTACAATAGTTATGTAAACAATACATAAAAGGTCCTCCCTTGAATGTTGATTATAAGTGGCTTTTGGGGGGGGCAACAAGTATGAAATATGGTATTTTTCAATTGTTTTTTAAATCTGAAAATATGTCTAGGAAATGGTATAAAATCTTGCAAAACATACAACTGAAGCGTACAAAATAGTAAATAATGAAAATTAAAACTTAAAAAAAAATTATGACATCAGGTTTATGACATCAGGATTTTGGGCACTCCAGAACACTGGAAACAAGTAAATGAGAGTTATCTCCCCTTTGTTTACAATAGTTTGAAGTAGCAGAATGGAAAGGAAAGGTTATATCTAGATGAGGCTATCGTTAGCCAAATAGACAAAGGATTAAAAAGACAGCTAAAAGCTACAATTAAAAGAGAGGAGGAGGAGAACTGAGGTGATTCTGCCCCCATAATTTGCCCACAGAAATATATGCACTGTGGTCGTGTAAGACTACGCACCTTGGTGATAAATGGGACATTCTGTATCAAGATTTAGAGCTTGAAGAAACATATGCCAGAATGATAGATTAGGAAAATATGATACCATTTATATTTACTATGCTATTAATTTTAAAACAATTTCAAAAGGTGATTGAAGGATAAGTTTGTTCTCTCTCAGCTGTAACTGGCAACTATATATTATTATGTATGTTTGTACGCCGCTTTTAGCAATATTCCAGCAATATCACGTCGGGGGACACGAGAAATGGGCTCCACACACATGTGGGGAATCGAGCCCGGGTCTTCGGCATGACGAGCGAACGCTTTGACCAACAGGCTACCCCACCGCCCTTATGTGAGTAGAATTGAGTGAACCCTTGCAGATATTTATAGCATAACTGGTATTTTGTTACCTGACTGAAATCTTCATGAAAAAAATTCACATAAATAATTCGATATATTACACATATTTTTACTGAAAAACATCTTTTTCTTAAATTGAAAAACCATTAACTTAGGCTCCTTGTAGTGAGTGAGTGGAGGTTTACGCCGCACTCAGCACTATTCCAGCTATGGCGGTGGTCTGTTAATTATCAAGTCTGGACCAGACAATCCAGTGATCAACAGCATGAGCATCGATCTACGCAAATGGGATACGATGACATGTGTCAACCAAGTCAGCGAGCCTGACCATCCGATCCCATAAGTCGCCTCTTACAACAAGCATGGGTTACTGGAGATCAATTCTAACTGGATCTTCACGGGTTCTGGGCTACTTGATCAAAGCTCTAGGTTTTGAAAGCACAACCAGTATGGTCCTTTTTACTTTTAGTAAAAAAATTAATAATATTGGTATTTTTGAAACTGAAATAACTAATGGACAAATACTTTAAGTATTTCAAACAATTCATGTAGAATATAAAATGAATCACTAGATTGTATCATTCTCAGTATTGAGTTATGTCACCTCTGTGCCTATGATCAACCTGAATCCCAGACTCAAAGCTGTATTTGCTCAACTTACGTGTGTGTGAGCGGTCAAGACAAAGACGTACAATGTCGGTACACATTTCGACAAACCACATATATTAGGTTAACCAGAGTCAAGTAATCTACACAGATTCATATTCATGTGGAAGTCAGCTGGTTGTATTTGACAGATAATATCTCACATAGGACACTGTAATGATTTACTGTGAGAATTTGTCACCAAAATGTTGACATAGAAGTTCCCTCATGCATGATCTGGTCCCCTGTACTTCAATTGGTTCCACGAGGATACAGCAGAAAAATATTGATGTGCATTTCAGTCTTTAGCAATAAATACACCCTTTATTTAGTAAACCTAAACCTAGTGTCATGGACAAATACCTGGAGAGCAAAGACACCACTTAGTTTCTTAATTGAACTGAACTCCTATTGGCTTTGGATATAGCCGTTGCAAGTATACTACCATGGACAAAATCAAACGTATTGCCAAGGAAACAATAAATACTCATTTCAACATCTTAAAATAGCACAGGGCTCAAGTTCATAACTTGATCTCTCTCTGTTCAAAGTTTATGAATGAATATGTGTTAGTTTTAGATATATAACAGCTTCTCCATTTTAATAGACGATAGTTCCCTTTCAGATTAATCATAACTTTGATGAGGCGAAAAAGAGGAACTAAATTGCATGTTTCTGAAGTTGTGTTTATTTTACCCTTAAAAGTAGAAAATATATGCTCTGAAAAGTCTTTTATCTATGGTCATATTCAAATTATGACTTTTCCAGTCCATATATTAGTAGTTCCATGTGTCCTCTTTGAAAATATGCATATAAAAGTACACTTGGGTCTCAGTATGAGATTTTAAAAATTATTCCTGAAAATTTTAACTTTTCAATTTTTTACCCCATAATAGGATTTAGCATAAATCTATTTGACTTTATAACCCATGTATTAGTAATACCTTGTGTTCTCTTTGAAAATTTCCATAAAACGGACGTTTGTGTCTCAAAATGAAATTGTAAAAATGTTCTCTGAAAATTTCAATTTTTTAACTTTTTACCCCAAAATAAGACTTCGGATAACATTATTTGACGTTTATAATTCATCTATTGGTAGTACTTTGTGTACTCTTTGAAAACATATATAAAAAGGTAAATTTGTGTCTCAATATGAGATTTTAAAAATTATTTACTGAAGATTTCAATTTTTAAAATTTTTACCTCCCAAAATAGGACTTAGCATCATATTTCAAGGGAGGACTTATTAATACCCATTAGTTATAATTTAAATATGTTGAAAACACTCAAATCATTTCTGTACCAATTATTTGGAGGTTTTGTCACATATTGACTTGACTATTGAGGCTCTTCCTGCAACTGTAATTTACCTTTGTAAACATCAAACGGAAAATCAAAACAAAATTATGATAGTTTTTCGTTTGGAATCCTTTTTCCAGAGTTGGTCTGGTGTTTTCTTTACATTCTGCATTGAACAGAATGTTTGATCATGAACCGATTTGGAGTTAGATTCAGATTCATCGGTATCATTTTGACCCAAACAGATTTGTAGTACCCTGGATGCAGCTACGGCAAGGCCCGATAATTGTATTCCGCAGCCGCGAAGGTATGCTCGCTGTGCGACTCAAGTTTAAGGGGAAAAAACAAACAAATTGACAGGTCTGAAACCTTCGAAACATATATGCAAGAACTCCTACTACCTCTTTCAGGGTACCTCTGCAACAATTGTGTTGCCCAATTGTATTGGTCAGATAAAATCTACTTTGACAATGTCGACAGACTCCGTATTGCAAGGCAAGAAATGATCCAATTTCTAAAATCTCTTTCGATTAGGCAAATACCAACTAAAGGAAACAAATGGGCCCGTCGGGAAACTCCGACACCCAAAATAACTAAGAAGTTTGTGTGGGGAGGAAAAGCCATCGTCCGAACGACAAGCAGAAAGAACTTTCTTTCGAAGCCAAGCCGACATCGCAAAGGGGACTGTGGACAGTGGTACCCAAACACGCCTACAAACAACACTGCCGAAAACTTTCACGATATAATTGATATAGCTTACAGTTAAATTTGTTATCATTGACAATAATTCATTTCTTTTTAATAATATTTTTATATTGATTACTCCTTTATATATTCTTCCTGATCATACCTGTAAACGTTGTATGATCATCAGCTTTTTATTGTCATGTATCTTTTTGCGATAATCAGGTATATTTTGGTAAAAATATGTAAGGGATCATACAAGTTGTTAGCAATATGTGTAATCGTAACATATTAACATGACAATTATTAGAGTGAGGGAGTGAGTATGGTTTTACGCCGCTTTTAGCAATATTCCAGCAATATCACGGCGGGTGACACCATAAATGGGCTTCACACATTGTGCCCATGTGGGGAATCGAACCCTGGTCGTCAGCGTGACGAGCCGACGCTTTAACCATTAGGCTACCCCACCGCCCCTGATAATTATTAAAAAAAAAAAAACAACTCACAATATTAAAGAGAAAACTATACCACACAAATTTGGAATCATTATATGTTTACGGTTATTATCAGCGTTGACACTTTATAGTTGTTCACTACCCATCGATAGAGTTAGTATCTTATACAAGTTCCATGATCGCTATTTGAATTTGTTCGATATAGGTCTGATTTCGATGTTCCTCCATTTACACTTTGATAACTACAACTTCTGTTTTGTATTTACTATCAGTTGATTGTATCTGTTCCACCTGGGCAATAAAAGTCTCTAATTGTCCATGATCCTGCTGAGAAGGAGATCTGCAAGAACATATTTCATGGCAAAGGCCCAGTAGCTCTCATTCACTGCTTACAAGTTCAGATATCTGATCTTCCCATCCTCAACAGAGTTGCCAACGTCAACGAGGAAAGAATGTTCCGCCTCCACGATAAACAGCCAGGACACGTGAAATCAAGTCCAAACACTTCGATATGGAAGTAATATGGCGACACACAGACAACCGGAACAACCAAACATAAAAACTGGGAAAGCGAGTTGAATTATAAGGGCGATAACTCTAGAGTCATTGTGGCTACTCGATGATAATTAACTGTCAGAGGGTGCAAAAATTGAGGGAAGAAATATGCCTACTCAAGAGGAAAGATGAACCTTCATGAAAGCTACAATGCCCATATGTGAAACTTTTAGCTGGCATAGACTTTATAAGAAGTTGGCAGTCTGCACCATTCTTACAGACAAGGCTTGAAACAGGTAAGATAATGCACCTTAATTTATTAATGTTTAAAGTAATGATATCTATTAATCTAATGATGGTTATTTTAGAGTATTTAATTTTCCTTGACATCAGTGATATGTTTAGTGTATTACATCCTTGATTAGGCCTTATGTAAACTGTTCGTTTCTTATTACCGCCCAACCCAAACATTTGACTCGACCCTAAATTACTTTGTATGGTTTTTACACTAGAGAAAATGCAATTTTGACTCTCAAAATGTGCATGAATTTTTCACATTTCTAAGTTTCGATTTTCTATCGGAGAATAGTTGTAAATTTCCAGAGAAATCAAGGAATTTTGACATACAATATAATTAAATGTAAAAAAAGAATCCGCCCGACCGACCCATATTTTCTTTTTAAAACAGTGATGAGAAACATGAATAATTTTTTTATGTGGCCTTATCTCAATTATATCCTATATTCTACCCTTTCTGCAGGTATACAGGGTTTTTTATATCCATGTACATCTTTGAATTTGTAGTGGTAATTTCCAAGGATGTCAAAGAAAGAGATGTGTCATCACAGATTCTAATTCTCAGCACATCATTGGCGGGATTGCTGCATGGGAGGAATCCATTATTGTCCCAAGTTCAATACATCAATGACCTGACACTGGATTACTCTGGAGCAACGAAGGAAGTAAGGAATTAAGTTTTCCAGAGAGGCATGACTTTTCTCAATCTCCTTAAAATGTAATTGTTATTTTATGCATTAGCTCTTAAGAAGATTCCCCATTCGCAGATGCACATTGGATTAGAATTACAACCTTTCCATGTTTACGCTCTCTTTTTAAGATATTATGGCATCCTTTGTTTATAAATAAGTAGCTTTAGAAGGCAAATGAATAAATATTTTAAATGAGAAAAGAAATAGCGGATATATATTTCACTGAGGGCAGAGATTTCCACATAACTTTTACTTAACTGTTCTTATTTCTTGGTTTAGTGTCTGACCCTGATGAACCACATGGTTCTACTTCCCAGACAAGTGTTTACAGAAAAATGAAGGCGATTGCTGAAGAACACAAAGTGCACATAGACAAGCATCCTCGATAATCTCCAGGGTATACGTTACGATCACTCTCCGCTATACCCTGGATGCATCCACGGCTTGGCCCGATAATTATATTACCTCCCTTTGCTGGCTCCGCATTCTCACAGTAGCCAATCCGCTAAGCCGCCGTTACATCCGAGCTTGCCAGTGTCAACAAAGATAGCGGTCGCAGTCGCGAAGGTTTGTTCGCTGTGCCACTCAGACTTTTGGGGAAATCATACAGACAAATTGACAGATCTGAAACTTTAAAACAATATATGAAAGAACTCCTTCTACCTCTTTCAGAGTACCTCTGCATCAACTGTGTTGCTAAGTTTAAACGGTTAGATAATTTAAGAAGCGAAAGTGAGTTTTGATTGGTTCGCTCAACTTCCCAGTGTAGACACCTGATTGGATAAAAAGCCAGCCAAGGGGGTTAATAATATCATCGGACCCATTCGTCACCACTCGCCTCTTTCCGTAACCTGCAAGAAGACTCGTCCCCCTCTCGATGCTTGTTATGTGCGAAAATACGACAAACCAATCAGAACGAGCGTAAATGACTGCCGTGCTTTGGTAAAAATAGTCCCGAGTACTTAAATCGTTTATGGCATTATGGCATTGTTTAAAAAATCATAAAAAAATATATATCGTCATATTGAAAGTACAAAGAACTTAGCTAACAGGATTTTGCTGCCTGGTATGAAGTTTTCGATAAGAATCATGCGATTGACGGTGAGAGATTCAAATACACGCACGTGCGTTTGTTTGACATTACGGCTCTCGTGTTTCCAACTGAGGGTGTTTCTGACGATCTTGCGGCCTTGTTATGGAGATTGTACGTGCGCTTTCAACAATTTCGGCAATGTAATTATAAATCGCTACGAGTTTCAAAACAATAATATTAGACATATATCTGCATGTAACTTATCAACTTTAATCTTTAACATTGGGATATATTTCACTTCTTGGGGAATATTTTAGTCTGACTCTTTTTTGGGGGTCATTTATATATTTTTCAGCGAATTCATTTAAAATTCCACTTGGGGTATGGGTTACACGAATGTTCAGTTTGAGACATATTTTAAAGTCATTTTTGAATTTCTGCTTTGGGATTTAATGTAGCCTTAATAAATGTTATTTACATATCATAAAACAAATCCCATTTGTGATTATCAAACCCTATTTAGAAATATAAATGGAAATATAAGGTGAACATCTGGTAATAATTACGTCAGAATAAGTCTGTAACAAATAGGTTTCTCCTTCTTTTAGTTGTATCAAAACGGTTTAATTATTTAAAACCATAAACAGCAATACAATGTATGATTACTTCGGTGATATTAAGTACCATTGGAATCAAACAAGAATAGAGTTATCGTTCCTGTTTAAAGTAGTTCTGATGTTCATGCGCCAATATGAAATCCTTCCAGAGGGGCACGAGTCGCTATTCGGCTTTTCCCGGGATAACACGAGTTGGTCACGAATGGCAAGCGCGGATGTAACGGCGGCTTAGCGGATTGGCTACTGTGAGAATGCGGAGCCAGCAAAGGGAGGTAATATAATTATCGGGCCAAGGCGTGGATGCATCCAGTGTATAGTGGAGAGTGATCGTAACGTATACACCAGGCAATGCTGCCCTTTTAGAAGCATGAACATTCTGACATATTTCTGTTCAAATGACTGTTCTAAAACAAGGGGAACCCGTGGAAATCCCGTTTAAAATTGGTCTTCAGTAACAAATGGTTGTCACAAGAGGCGACAAACGGGGTCGGATGGTCAGACTCGCTGATTTGTTGTTTCAACTTCTCAACACAAAAGGAATGAACTTTTTGCCCTTCTTTGAACTGGTCCTTTTGGCTTCTTAAGTTAATGCCTTTGTTGGCACATGGTAACTATATAAACACCTTACACTAATCATTTGATGCAGACCCATGAAGATCCGGGGTAGAATAGGTCTTCAGCATCCCATGCTTACCACAAATGGCGACTATACTTGTTGTTAGAGGCGACTAACGGGATCGGGTGGTCAGGCTCGCTGGCTTGGTTGACACATGTCATCGGTTCCCAATTGCGGAGAACGATGCTCATGCTGTTGATCACTGGAATTTCTGGTCCAGACTCGATTATTTACAGATCGCCGCCATATAGCTGGAATATTGCTGAGTCACTCACTCACTCACTCATTTGATGCACATTGACTGTATGGTTTTTCCATCACAAGGGATTAATATATGAGTGCAAAAACAGTTAAGGATCTTTTTAGCAGTCTTAATAATCATTTAATTATTGAATTTGTAAAGGAAATTTAACTAATTGATAAATTTGGATGGCTATGTTTTGTATATAGATACATATTTTATCATTGGTAGTTAAATTACCACCTTAGATTGTTAGTGGCAGTATCCTAAAGGGAGGTTGAAGTAAAAATTTAATCTTCCACCTTTTTACTCGTAGTATTATTGTCCTTTTAATTGTGGCTAAATTTGCCTACAATCGCCAGCAGCTGAAGGGATGGTGTAACTAGGGCCCATGCATGTAGCAAAGGTGGTGATCTACCTTCAGTTGTTGGAGATCAATAGCCCATTTTTACATTGTATTGTCAAAAGTAGTTTTCTACTTTTAAAAATACATGCTAGCTAGTTTAAACTCTTTTTGTGATACTCTAGTTATTTTACAGTCCGACGATGACTGGTTATTGAACTACTTGTATGAAATTAAGGTCACAAGTGAGACCGCTTCAACTCTTTCATATTTAGATCTATGCATAAAGATTCACAAGGCGTGACCAAAGAATCTCCACACGGCTGTAAGACAAAAGTAATGATTTAAAATAGTCAACTTTTCATGTCGAGCAATATTCCAACAGCTCCAGCCCTAGGTGTTTACATTTCACTTCTTCAGAGGTA